CTACTTTATGAATCTGAACTTCCATTTCCTCACCTGTCCAACAGGATAAAACTGGCAACCCCCCTCATAGAGAGATTAAATAATGCATGTAAAGTGCTTAGGGTAGTGCCTGACATACAGAAAGTGCTCAAATAATATTAGTGATGACTGCCAGCCCTGTTATTAGGTTCAAGCACAAAGCTAGGTGCACACATGAAAATACTTATCCATTGGATTGAGGAGGAATCAGGACATTTGATTCCCACTATCGTGGGAATGCAGGCAGTGACTTCGTCTCTCTGTTCTTGCATTTTTCTCCCCTATCAAATGGAGATATCCTCCTCTTCTGACACACAGTACCATAGGTTTGGAGATGCTTAGAAACAAAAATGGGAAACGGCACAGAAATACACAAGAGGTTATTTCCCTTACTGCACCATTGCTCTTATACCAAACTACCTACTCCCTGCCATGTTTATGAAGCTTCACTGCAGCTAAGAATTTTTGCTATAATTTTCTTTCACCTACTAGGGCTGAAATGTTTCTGCCTCATTCCTCTATTGACTTCCGATACTCACATGAAAGGCACAGTTCCCCAGCTTCAAGAAGGTGTGTCTGCAGAATTTCTAAACTTTTATCCTTTTTAAACTCTTCAATCTTTTTGCCTCTTGGATACATTAAAGACGATCCAAATATTTGGAATCATGAAATGCGTAGCACAGATGAAATGGTTCTGGAGACTGTAAGCTATCTGGGAAGAGGGACTAGGTCTGTCCGATTCATTACTATACCCCAGCACCCAAAATGGCTCTTTGGCACATAGGAGACACATTAGAGCAATGACAGCCATCTTGCAACCATGAAGAATGAGCCAAAAGAAGTCACAGAGACTCTACTATCTCAACATAAATCTGGATTTCTAGGTATGTGAAATAATTCAAAGTCTTTAAGTCACTACTTTTAAGTATTCTCTTACTTGCAGCTGAATACATTCTTACTAAGATAATGAGTAACTGTGCCCTGAGGAGGGTCTCCCATTATTTTTAGGTACAAGAGGGCAGATAGTTCCCTTTTTACCAAGTTCCTTACTCTGCAACAAAGGTTTCCATTTAACCAATCTCCCATGTTTCTTTTATAATCTTAGCATCATCTCCTCATTATCCCCCTGATGTCTCTGAAAGATTAATAGCACCACCTTGACCCCTAGACATTCTTTCTCCGTTTATCTTTTCTGTTTTCTCATTATCACTTTCCACAGACCAAATATTATATCTTGATTTTTAATTACTTTAATGGGCCTCATCCATAGTAATTGGGACATTTAGGTCATTATCTTGTCTCCTCAGATCTTCTTGGACAATTTTATTGATCATTTCTTTGAGCAAAATCATGTGGGGGTACTAGACCCACATAAACTTGTAACTTAGGCCAAAAGCTGTCTGATTAATTAGCAACATTACCTTCTGGCGCAAAGCTGCCCTGTCTTTAGAATCGTGGCTCATAGTCATTGCTGAGTATTAGCGTTATCCGAGGTGGCATAAAAACTCTTGATAGTCTCTCCCCCCTCCCCATGCCCATTAAAATCAGGATTTCAGAGGGGAGTTGAACATCAGTAGTTTTTAATACTGAAATCCCCATATGATTTCAATGTGCTGTCCACTTTGAAAATCAATGCTTTAGGCCAGTACTTCTCAACCTAATGTTCATATGAATAACATGGAGACCTTGTTAAAATGCAGATTCTGATTCTCTGGCTCCAGGTCGGGGAATGACATTCCGCATTTCTAACAAGCTCCCATGTGATGACAAAAGCATGGTCTGAGCCCCACATTCTGAATAACAAAGGTCTAGAATCTAGAGTTAGTAGTCCATTTTAAGAGGGGATCTAAACAAATTAAACTCCACTTGAGTCCCACTGAGGTGAAAACATCATCGCTGCAAGAAAGCCAAGAGCAGGTGATTGAAAGAACTCCAAGGGTGGTTGTTTTCAGCTCTAGTTTAGTTATGGACTCAGGTGGACCAATCATCCCAGTTTGTCCAGGACTGAGGGGGTTCCCAGCATGCAGGACAAGGACAAGTCGCCCTAGTTATGGTAGTGTTCTTCAAAGAGCAACAGAACAGCCAAGTTTTACACTTCTACATTTTGATTCCTCTTTCTGGGAGTGTCAGTCACCCTAGGGTCAAGGGTTTGCTGGGAAAGATGGGTCAAGGGAAAGAAATGCATGCACCAAGAATGTGATGTTACTTCAGAAGGGTAAATAATCAGGCAGATCCAGGTGGACCTAGAAAACTCCAACGACAGGTTTGTGACATGGCCACAGAGGTAAGTCCAGGTGAGATGGTTTAGGTCTGTGCTCTAGCACTGGTTTACTGTGTAGCCTGGGGTAACTAAGGCCCCCTGTCAGGGCCTCGGTTTCATCAGCTAAAACATGGGAGTTGAATTGTTGGATACGTGGGTGTCTTTCCTGCACCCACCCTCCACTCCACGTGCAGCACCCCATAAAGCATACAACTGCAGCATCTTTCCAGCTCAGTTGGAAAGTAAACCCACCTTCCATTTTGTGAGCAGCCACCTCCAGCACATTCCAAGACCCTCATAAAAACATCAGCATTAATCATACTCCATCTAGTACATTTCTCTTCGGTGTCCTTTGATGTTCAGAGAGCCGAGAACTCACAGAGCCTTTTTTTTTTTTTTAACGACTATAACATGTTTACAAATCCAATGAAATTCTATTTTGAGACCCAGGCTTTTGGTTACAAGTGGCTTCCTCCTTCTGATCCTGCCTCCACCCAGGGAACTCACTTCTCAACTTTTTGTTTTCTTTAGAGAGACAAAGAGTCTCCCCAGCCACCCATTGCTGGATTCCTGTTAACCTTTCATTAAGCCTGCTGACAGCTTGGCTCCAACTCTTCATGAGTTAGTTCAACACATTCCCATTTAAATGTGTCCCACCTGGCTTCATTAAGGTTCCTGCCAGGTTCTCCACTTGCAGCTTCCTCTGCAAATGCAAATAAGATTCTGAGTAAATAATATGGGGACCAGGGAAGATTGAGCTATAAAGGATTGGGGATTGGAGAACCATCAAAACACCCAGGTCGCCATGGATTTGAGCAAACTAAAATCCATCTGGGACCAACACAGGCCAATATCGCAATTCTGTATGCACAAAGTGTTAAATTAAGGCCCTCGCTGTGAAGCACAGGGTAGTGGTTAAGAGTGTAGAGTCCTTCCAGCCTGGTTCAAAGCCCTGCTCTGTCATAGGGATGTTGGTCCATGTGACCTTGGACAAGTTTCTTCACCTCTCCCTGCTTCTGTTTTCTCAGCTCCAAAAGCAGGAGTAATTTACCTGTTTCACTGGGCTGCTGTGAGAACCCAATGAGAAATTGCCTTGAAACACTTGGTAGAGTACCTAGACCATAGCGAATGCTTTTTAAGGACTGGATGTTATCTCATTTAGCCTAGAAAGACCAAGGTCCAGGTTGCAGAATTAGGTTGTTCTAAATCCTCAAGGTTTGATTGTGGACCCACTATGTAAACATCAGCTGTAAGAACAATGTCTCCATCAAAGCCCTTCCTTGTGCAAATGGAAAATCAACACTGATTCCATTCTGTTGCATTTCCCATATGTGTTTTGTCTCATTTAGATTTTTAAGCTCTGTAAGGGAAGTGATTCTCTCTCCTGGGCCCAGATACTAGGAAGTTATTTGTAGGTGGCTACCAATTCATCCTGATTGCACAGAGAGGGAGAGAGAGGAAAAACTAGACCAACGATCTCTTCTGATCAGGAAGTCTCAGCATAAGAATTGTATATTTATTAAGTCATCATTTGGCAAAACCCTACCCTACCCCCTGGACTTTGGAGTCTCAGACCAGTTGCCTTCTTCTAGCCGATGGCCACGTGTTGCTTGGCCAGGTCATTATTCTAAGTTGGAGTGTTAATGCCTTCAAGTGGACACAGACACATTCCACTTTGTAACGGCCCAGCACTTCCCCTTGCCTCACTCATCTATGTCGGCTCCCTAGCCTCTGAAGTCCCGGCCACCCAGCCACCCAGCCTCAGGCAGAGCCCACATGCTTTCTCTATGCCAAAAGTAGAAGTCAGGAGACAGGAATCTACGATCTGTATTTAGAAAAGGATATCTCTGCCACAGCATGGAGAACCAATCGAGAAGGGAAGGGGCATAGATTGGGAGGCGGCTTGGAAGCTACTGTACGAGTCCAGGGAAATTCCAGCTTAAATGAGGTCTCTGATAACCACCTCCACCTGGACCTTTGCCTCCTGTTGCAGGAAACTCCTGACTCTGTGCAACCACACACGCACCACTGCAGAGCACTCCTTAAGGGAGAATCTTCTCTTTAAAAAAACAAAACAGAACAGGGGGTGAGCCGAAATTATGGTGTGGTTCCACATTACTTCCTGAATTATTGATGAGACCTAGGGCTGCTCATACCATACCTGGAGTGGGGCACTGAACTCCGTAAGCTGGGCATAAAGAGAGAGATACAAATGCATACAAGGCAAAGGCAACTAGAGTAGAGAAGGGACCAGAAATCATGTCCCAGGAGCAAGGTACTTTGGAGAGACATGAAGCTCTCCTTCCAATATCTGGAGTGCTGCCAGAGAGGAGAGAGATTATACATGTTCTGGGTAAACACAGTAAATTCAACTAGGACTGCCAGGCAGGTGCTTTCTGGAGACAGCTTTGTTTTAAATATTTCTGTCTCAGAACTGCCCTGAGATTGAATGATCTCCTTTAGGTGTGGTAGTGAGCTCACCATCACTGAAATTATTCAAGCGTAGTCTGGAAGATCCCTTAGCCTGATGCTACAGAGGAGATTAAAGCACCTGGCAGGGAAGTTTTGGTCTCTAAAATACCTTGCACTTGTGAAATTAATGCAAGACTGAATGGATGACACCAATGGAATAGATGGGGCTTTAAAAATAAAACATTCTAGGACTTATTTTGACAATTCCCACATGATGCCCCCATCCTCAATCCTAAGAAAAGGTGGCCCGTTAGAGTGTGAAAAGACCATCTTCAACTTCCCCTCCATGCTGCATATCTTCAGAGGTGTTTTTACACTCTCCAACATTGTCAAGCCTGTAAAGAGAAAAGAGAGGCTGAAAATGGGAAACACCAGGACCAGGAATAAACGGATGCTGCTAAATCACAAGGCCACTAACCATGGCTGTTAGAGTTAAAAGAGCTCAAACTCCATCCATCCGGTCCAAGCCTCTCCATTCACATATGGGAAAACTGAGGCTTCAGGAGATAAAGGGCTTTTGCAAATCTATTCTAATAAGGGAATTAAAAGTTTCTATATTGGAAAAATATAAAATTGTGACCTAAATGTGTTTATGACCTTGGAAAGTCACCTTGCGAAGCCCCACTTGTTAATATTTATTTGTTAATTGATATTTTGGTATTGACGTAATTGTTAATGAAAGCACAGTCTTCATCAGGTGACACCAAATCTTTTCATTTCTTTCCCAAAAAGCTATAAAACAGGACAGATATTCAAAATCTCTTTCCAGAGACTCTTCAGACTATTAAAAAAAAAAAAAAAAAAAAAAAAAAAAACTGTTACAATGATCTAATTGGGCAGAGGCACCAAATCCCAGGAATGATATTCTACATGTTTTCATTTTCCCCACTGCCAGCTGTCTTCTCTGGAAACTCCTGTTTAACAACGTCCTTTTAAAATGAATTGCCCAGAGTTGAACAAAAAATTCTGAACACAGAAGATAGTGACATATCACCTTCTGTCTTTTGCATGCCATGCTTCTATTAATGCAACCTGCCTTTGTATTTATATTTCGGACAAACATAACACAGTGTTAACCAGGACAGAGGTTAATGTGAGCTAAATCCCACATCTTTTTCACCTCTAATGCCACATTTTTCCAACCCTGTATTTCATCAGAACACAAGAACAAGTCATTAAACCACTGAGTAGTATCTAATCATTTGTAACAGCTTGTACAATCATTACAACAATCAGTCATGCAAGATGAATTACCTTGTGTGTTTCTGGAAACAATTGGTTTTCATGACTTTCCCTGAAAAGACAAGGCCATGGTATAAGCAGAGTAGTTGTGTTAGGACATGTGAAATGCTGGGTTAAGCCAGGAGCTGCCTTCCCAAGAGCAGAGGTGGACCAAAGGTGAGAATTTAGGGACTGGTTTAGGCAGGGAAATGCATTCCTTTTCCCAGATCTAGTGACTGCCTCTATGGGTCCTGAGGCAGTGCCCATCACTTACACAGTTGTTCCCATGTGTGGGCAATAGTGTTAAGCCGCTTCATTTTTAAGTCATTGCCCACTCATAATTCAAGCACTCACTCAAGTTTTAAAACACTTCCTTATGAGACATACTCAGAATTTCCAAAACTGTATGAGGACCAATGGCCTCTGCCTTTAAGAGGGCTTTGCATGAAGGCTGAAGACAGGCTTCCACTGAGTTTCAAATTCCCTTTGGCGGTGTTCACTAGGGACAGGTGCTGAAATGTGCAAGTTTCGCTACTGCTGCTCAAAGCAGTTGAGATGGTTACCAGTCTTATCTCCTTATCTACCACCTCGAAACAGTTTCTGTTGATGACTACAGAACAGTTTTCCCCCATTTTACAACAGGACCAGATGCCACATGCCTGTACTTTGCATGACAACTTAAAACCCTGTTTCATGACTCCTTTTTGCTGTGTTTCAAAACTATTGTTTTGAAAGTGAGGAGTGGTGGTGGGAAGGAGGGGTGCAAGGTCACAGACCGGCTGGAGAATCTAATAACAATTATGGACGCTGCCCCTTGAAAAATGCAGATATCAACATGCAAGTACCTTTACACATGATTTCAAGGGATTCACTTTCCCCTGAGGTCTCTCTGTGGAACCCAGGTAAGGAAAGCTTGCTTTAAGGAGATAATAAGGCCAAGATCCTTCATGGCTTTCTTCCTGGGGCGGTCCTAGTCAGAGGAGGAGGCCAGGCCACAACTTCCTCCACCCCAGACAATGATAATAATGGCACTTTCCACTTAAGGCAGTAATGAGGGAGAAAAGAGGCACATCAAGAGCATAGCATCAGAACTGTCACAGGTTATGCATCCAGTAAATGAAAGTACTCTTTTTTTTTCTTTTCCAAAATATAAACTCCATCAGGAAGATGATACATGAAGGCTTTAGCATCTTAGGGAGAATGAGTTTCCCTTGACCAGGATAGGGACCGGATGGAAAGAGGACTCTGGGGGATGGAGACAGGGGCAGAAAGCAGAATCTGTTCACTCCCAGGCCCTCCTGGAGCCTCCACAGCTCTGAGGGCTCCATCCCACCTGGGCCTGCCCTCCTTACCTCGAAGGAAAAACGCCACAAGCAACACCAACAGCACAAATCCCACGGAGGGAGCAATGATCATTAGCAGGTCAGGGTTGATGACCATTTTTACCTGGTGAGACACAGGGAAGGTGATGGGGCCACTCGTTTCTGAACTTCATACTCACACAGCTTCTGGTCCCAATCATACCTTCCCTCCACCAGCAGCTTCACTGCTTCTCACCCCATTTTGCCCGACATGTCTCAAGATCAAGACAAGGCAGCCTTACAAATCAGAAGTTTTTAAAAATAATCTCCGAAAATCTGGAACATTTTCCCAGACCCCCAAATCTTCCTGTCTCCGACATCAGGCATATGAGCTGTGGGGCTCAGGGGTCTGAAGATAGGAAAGAGCTGTGCTGTGAGCCCTGTGTTCTCCATGGTCAAGTCTCTTCATTGGCTACCACCTAAATCCTTTGAGTTCTGCCCAGTTCTGTGCAACTCAGGACCTCAGCTGACTTAGACCTCCAGAGGCAACAAGATAGAAGAGGAAAATGGAACTCAATTTCAACTTTTTGACAGCATTGGTTCTCAAAGTGTAGCCAGGGGACCCATGAGATCAAAATGATTTTCATGAGACATTATTTGCCCTTTTCACTGTCATTCTTTCACAAGATGGAAGGTAGGGTTTCCCAGAGGTTACGTGACAAGTAATGGACTACTGTCACCATTCCGATGATAGAATATGCAAGCAGATAAGAGTATCTTTCTGTCTCCTAGCAAGCCAGACATTAATGAGATTTGCAGAAATGTCAAACAATGCCACTAATGCCACTTCTCTTGCTAATATTTTTTCGTTCGGGGAAAATAGAGTTATTTTTCATAAAATGTTATTTAGGTCAACAAGTAATAGATTTGCTTTCTTTGCTTTTAAATGAATTAACATCACTTTAAATTTGTTTTAATTTTTATCAGTGTACAGGACTTCTGACACCAAATCATCTGAGGAGTTTTGCTCTGCAGGCAGCACCTAGTTCTGGTAGGGGCTCAATGCCACCTCTGCTGCCCAGGTCATGCTCCATTTCCTCACCTTCCTGTCCCTTTCTCCAACACAGCAGCAAGGAGGGACAACAATCTCTCTCTGCAGAGGGAGAAGGGAAGGAAGAAAGAAGGGATGGGGACCCTTTTCCCTTTTCCCTTATAAGTGTCTATACTGCTGACAGTTTTTACTTGATGCAGCTTGAACCACTTTTGTGATGATAAAAATTAATGAAAGGCACGGTCAGCAAATAAGAAATATGCCGGTGGCAAGGGTGGATTCTGCAGGACGTCACTAACCCTGGGCCATGCAGAAGGAACACATATTGATCTTTCCATGTTTTTGTATGTTTTTTTTTTCTTATTGGTTTCCAAAGCATCTGCACATATAGAAGTAACAATATGAATGTTAGTTCTGCCAAGAGCACGAGTCTACAGATTCCTCAGCTAACTCACAACCGTTGCTGCTTAGATAGATCTGTCCTCCCCAGTTCATTTCTGCAAACCTCTATTGTGGATTTTAAAAATGGAAGTCACATGCTTCAAATACTTCACAAAAATTTTTACCTCTTCTGATTGAGCTTCATTCTGCACAACCATTGCTGTCTCAGATTCTGGGGAGGAAAAGTGGGGGGAAATGTTTATATTTTCTGTGGAGGAATAAAATACCACATCCTGAAATAGGCATTTCAAACCTCATCTGGAATCTTAGTTGATGTGTTTAATCTTTCAATCCCATCTTTTCTTTTTGTATAATTTATTTACAACACATTTGTTTTGAGATGGTTTTATCTGATACTCAGCTGCTATCCAACATTATGCCACAGGAACATCTCCATTTTATAGATGGGTAGAGTGGGGCATTAGGTCAGCAGGCAATTGGGTCTGCATTTTCTGTAGGTCCCAGCAACACATTCAGGATTTTTATCCAGCCAAAAAATGTGCCAATCCATTAGTTAACAAATATCTATTATGCATTTATTATAGGCCATGTACTGTGCTAGCCTGACCATCAACCTGGCTGATGAAATTTACAACTTAAGGCAGAAAACCAAATTTTTTTGAACAATTTTTTTTCTAATTTTTTGTTTTATTGTTGAGAGAGACAGAGCTTGAGGTGGGGTGGGGGGAGAAAGAGGCAGATGCAGAATCTGAAGCAGGCTCCAAGCTCTGAACTGTCAGCACTGAGTCTGATGCGGGGCTCGAACTCACAAACTGTGAGATCATGCCCTGAGCCGAATTTAAATGCTTAGCTGACTGAGCCACCCAGGTGCCCTCAGGAAATCAAATTGAAACAACAACAAAAAAAAAAAAAAAAAAAAGA